CAATTCAACAATTATAGTTCCAGTAAATAGAACTTCTCAATGCTCTGCCATCCCTTCAGTTCTCCCTTCTGTGTTTAAATTATGTTGTCTTCTGCTTCACACTCTAGATTTTGCAAATCCCTTTTTAAGACCTGAAAAAAAAAAACTCTATTTATAAATGACCACAGCAGAGAGGAAAACATTGTAGTGTAAAGTACTCTTTCAAGCAAAACAAAAAGCCCAATGATTATATCATGTGTATCTTACACTAGAGCTAAATGTTTATAAAGAGGGATTAATTTTTTTTTTCTCCCTGGCAACAGCTATAATAAATACACCGTTAGAGAAAATATGTGAAATAGAAGACATGCACTCAAAACTGAAGGAACATGTTTGGATATAGCACAGGAACTTGCAGAAGTTTCTAACACCATAAAAACTCTGAGCTTTCAGTTTGTTGTCTGTGCCAAGATCTCTCAAAGCAGAACTTGAGTGAGTTTTCCTTTGAGATGTGGTCAGATGGAGTTTACAAGCTCCACTAACCGATTAGTTGGTAACAGGAATGATAAACATTTCACATAGGTTATCAGGCAGCAACACAGAAATGAAGGCACAAAACTTTCCCCTCTTTTGCCTCCTGCAACCCTATACTTCATAGGTTTTGACTCACAGACACTTTTTTTTCCAAACAAAATTTATTCCAAGTACCCTGGTACTGCAGAGGACCTGGTGTGATGTCTGTTTTGGGACAGCAAGGAACTACCCAGCAAGGCCAGTCTGTGCCCCACTCCACTCCCATGGTCAGGAATTTGTTCTGCCTTGCTCTTGGTGTCCAGGTTGGGCACCACAATCTCTCCAGACTGGCTCCTTAACTCTACTGAGCTTACTGCCTTGAGCTTCTGTGCAACAGCTCCCTGCCTCACTGATTTTCAAAGAGATTAAAGCCCTGGTTTCACAATCATTAATGGCACATTTGGGCAATTCCTAGTCTCAGAGAAAACACACTCAGCCCAGGTAGGGTGTGAACACACAGCCCTGCTTCTGCTGATTCAGAGCAAGAGCATGACCACCAGGGGGAAAACAATAGCTGCTCTGGTTTAACACCTGCCACGAGGAATTTATCATGCTGACAATTTCAAATAGCTGTGGATTAACAGCCTGAGATTACACCTGATCTGCCCTGCCATTCCTATGACTCCAGCGTTTTGACCGAGCATCACTAGGTCTACAAATGGAGTTGTTCTCAAACAGCAGCCTTGAATAAGTTAAAAAATGTTACCTTTTGCTCTTGGTTTTGATCTTGGTTCACCTTCCATGAGAACTACTTACCCATTATAAAGCCAAAAACCAACAATCACAAGTGTAATTCCTACTTAACTCATGCTCCAATCTACCTGTTCAACTTAATTTTTCATGTAAATGTCCTGAAGTCAGCAAAGACATCACCAGCATTGAGTGCCTTGTAACTGTTTTCACAAGAGGAGAACTGCACCTCCGTTACTAAACCCTTAGCTGGGGAGCTCTCAAAAGGATTCAATTCCCCTCTGATCCCCCTCAGCATCCCTGTGAAGCATCGTCAGACAATCTCACAGACTTTGGCAGGTGGAGAGGCGAGACAGAGCCCTGCCCAGCTTAACAGCACCACACCAGATGGAAAACGTCTGGATTTACAGATGGAGGAAGAGCTTAATAGAAATGCTCTCACAATGAGGTGAGACTTCCCTGAAAATGTGCAACTTTAGGAGGTTCAAGATGTAATTTTTTTATATATAGAATTCTCCACAACACCCCATCTTAATTACTGGAGCTCCACTAGCAGCATAACAGAACTGCTTATATATAATCCAGAAGGGAATGCAACAGGTAAATCTATCTCTGTCTAGCCTCTGTACCTTCTCCATCTCTCTCACGTACAGTTGTTCAGGATTAAGGTTTAATAGCTTTTCTTGTGCAAAAAGGAATCACAAAGTCTAATCTCTTCCTCACCTTCTGTCAGATACAGCCCTCCAGACATCATCCTCTCAAACTCTGCAAAACAACAAATGCTTTCTAATGCACTTGGAATCCAGCAGCACCACACACTCCGGGGAGCAGAGCAGCAAAGGCATGTTGGTATCGTGGCATCTGCCTGCTTAAAACACATAAAAGGAGAAATGGGACCTGAACCTTCAAGTGTTTCAGTTTCAAGTTTAACCCAGCCAGCACTTAGGAGGAAGGCCGTGCCACCACAAGTACAGATGCCTTTGTAAGGCAGGGAGATATGTAGGGTGTTTAAAACGCTCCACCCAGTGGCAGGAAGCTACACCTACCTGTATGAATAAATCCTGCACAGTTTTACACGGGCAATAAATGCTTTTCACACATGCTTTTTTCCCCCATACACATTTTTCAAAAAAAGAAGAAAAACAATTAAAATTCCCATTACATTGCATAATAGAGACCACACACATAAATAACACAACTGAGCCTAAAAGGAAAAAAAAGTATGCACTTGGTACAATCAAAATATGTGATTATCCCTCTAAAATCAAACACATTTCTTTCTTATCTTCTGCTCCTCCCAGGACACTATTAAATTCCCCTAATTCTGATTGCTCACAGCAGAGGTATCTTCATTTCCCAAAGGCAGAAACACAGTCCTACCATTGTTACATCAGGGAAATCAGAGAACATAGCTGGGAATTATCTCCAGGAATCAGGTATTACTGCTGTTATTCTGTAATAAAGGATTGGACTTGCTAGTAAAGACAAGCTCAGACCAAAACCTCAAGCCTTGGCACCTCCTATGTATTGTGAAAGATCGGCTCAGGAATCAAATATCAATGCTTGTGCTCACCTTTAGTAATAACTTGGTAAGAAAAAGCCAATATTTTGTATCCCTGTCCAATATAGTCTTTAGGGTCCGTTCCAAACCAAAATATTCTATGGTTGTATGACTCTATATTCTAATGCACAATAAACTGTGTTTGTGCATGGCCCAGCACAGGACCTGGCTTTGCCCTTCTGGGAATACCATACTCCAGGCTTAAAAGTGAAGTCAGGACCTACAGAAGAAGAATGCAGTATACTCCCCCCAAACCCAGAGCATCCATGCACCTTTCAGAAGAAGGACTCCCCTCTGGATACAAAGTCATTGACAACTCAGGAACTGGTAGCTTGTGCAGAGGGGTTGTCAATGGTCTCAGCCATGGTTTAACTGGCACAAAGTAGATTTAAACTAGAAATTAGGAAGAAATTCCTGGCTGTGAAGGTGGTGAGGCCCTGGCACAGGTTGCCCAGAGAAGCTGTGGCTGCTCCATCCCTGGGAGTGTCCAAGGCCAGGCTGGAGGGGGCTCTGAGCAGCCTGGGATAGTGGAAGGTGTCCCTGTCCATGGCAAGGGGTGGGATGGGATGGGTTTTAAGGCCCCTTCCAACACAAATCATCCACGCTTTTACGAACACAACACTCTGAGCTTGGTGACCTCAGCTGGATGTTGTGGAAGAAGTTGTATGTATTAGAACTGTCCCCGTGACTTCATGGGAAAGGATTTCACTCTTTCACTTCAGTGTGGCAAAGCTCTTACAGGAAATGAACAGCATAAAAATGGAATGATATGGGAATAAGCAGCTGGCTTACACAGCAAAGAAAGGTTACTAGCAACATGTACAATCATTTGTGCTGATAACATGCTTGTCGAGATATTTGGAAGCTGTAGCTTATTTATAAAAGTTATCTGGAAAATGAGGTGGACATCACGATGCATTTTGCAGGAAATACACAATTATTCAGGACAACCAAATACAGCTCTCACAGCTAGAATTACACATGGATCTCAAAGATCTGAGTGATAAAAGGGAGAAATGAAATATTATGTGCATGAAGGGAATTATTCTTTACTGTACATACACAGTGATGAGCTCAGAAAGAACTTTTATTACACAGGGATGAGAACTTGGAAAAACCCATGCCCAGTTCTCTGAAGATGAGAATTCAATGATGATATCCACAGACAAGAAGGTAGAGGGAATTAGTTATTGGTTATTATGGAAGGAACTAAGAATAGAAATCCTCCTGCAAAAGTATGTGGCAAAATCCACATGGCAACTGTATTTTGAACAGTGAAACCCCAGTACCCCTAATTTACTAAGAGTAGAAAGAGGAAATCAGATACTGTATTAAATGAACATCTGGTTTGCTGCCTTATGGTAGCTGGGTTGTTTGTTTTTTTTTTAATCCATATAAACGGCACCAAATATCTCTACAGTTGTTAAACACACTGCATGCATAAAAACCCCTGGAATGGTGACCAACATACTTCAACCATTATCCACCAGTTGTAACAACACTTGCCTTGACCTGAATTTCTGGACAGGCTAGGCAGTCAGTTTTGGAGTTTTGAACCTCCCAGCTTTCATAATCATGTCATGCCAGTGGAGTGGCAAAGTTGTTGTACGTAAGGAATACTTTGACAGCGGACAGAGGATGAAGAAGAGTAAAGGCTGAAGTCTTTGCTACTGTTTTAGTTTTGGGGAGAGGTGCGTGCTGTCTCTGACAGGGATCTCTCCAGCTGTGAATGTCTCACCTAGACATCCACATCAGAGCAAGCTGCAAGGTGCAGTGAGCCTAAAGGGCTTCAGTGAGCACACAGACCTCATTTCATCCAAACGTCGTGTCCATTCTGTCAAACGACTTGTACCTTGAACTCCAACGCCTCTGAGAGGACAGCTTCCTCAGAGGTGCACTTCCCAAACTGGCTAAGAACAGCCCCACATGAAGTGACCCAAGAAATATGGATGACACTATCAGAGAAGTGAAGAAATGAGTTGCTGTTATCATGCAGCAACACAGATGCAGCTAGCCCCCCTTCTCAGAGGGCTGGGAGATTTGCTAGAGATTTCTAGAAACTACCTAGTAAACACCAGTTATTCCTCAGCCAGGAAAAACAGTCTCTCCAAAAGCCAACACTGATTTCCCAAAAGTAACAATTTTTAAGGTGGTTTTTTTACATTTAAAATAAACACATAAAGAGAATACCAAGCTCTTTATTTTTTCTCCTGTTATATTTATTGATCTTCTAGGAGGCACAATGGAAATTTCAGCTTTTGTCCATTTTCTCCTCCCTTGCAAAGCACCAGGGTACAGGTTAATAGTCATCAGTCTACAATCAATATTTCAGAAGGTCTCTGATCACATTTTCACATTTCCTGATAATAAAGAGGCACATGTGCCAGTAGCTAAAATAAAAATGATTTAAGCAATACTTGCTTAAAAAGCTGCACTGACTGCTATTTTAAGGCAGGTTTGGTGAAAGTCTGACAAGCAATATCCCCGTGAAATGAAAATAACTTTTCCTATAGAAACACATTAACTTTGATTGGAATAAAGGCTTTTAGGAAATACTTCATCAGTGTGTAATTATACTGATGTTGCACTTCCTTTAGTTAGAAAGACATCGACAAATCGTTTTTGTTCAGAATTCTGACTTCTCAGCTCTTCCTTTACCTTGCAGGAAAGGCAAGCAGTGATGGTCTATTGTCACAGAAGGCAGGGGTTTCTCAGGGCATTAGTAATTCAGGCCAGGCTGAGTCCCCAGGATCACTCAGGCTGTGTTCTCAATGACAACAGCAATACCTTGTCCACCGCCGATGCAGGCTGACCCAACCGCGTATTTCCCACCACGACGCCTGCACACAGAAACCAACAGTGAAAATCACTTACATTTAAGAAACCACAGTAGCTCCTGTCCTGATTTTATGAAAAGAAAGTAGCCATCAGCTGGATATTACTAAAGATGACGTTTTAGAATGTGTATGTTGTTCTTTTTCTAGAAAAATATCGTGAAGCCAGAACTGATGTTGAAATATTTCTGTAGGAAACCAATGACTTTAAAGGCCATCTCATTCCACCTCCCTGCCATGGGCAGCGACACCTTCCTCTATCCCAGGTTGCTCTAAGTCCTGTCCAACCCAGCCCTGGACACTTCCAAGGTAGTTTTTAAACTTCCTGAACACCGCCGAGGTAATTTTTAAAACCTAAGTTTCCTACAGCCACACTCCAAGAAACAGTTTTCTAGAAGGTGCAAGTTTTCTGGGGCTTTATGGCTGAACACTAACACAGAGTTGCAAGTACAAGCAAAGAGATACAGCAATCTCTGCCCTGAGGGGAAATATTAGAAAAGGAAAATTCAAATTAAAATGGTGCTAAGCATATCAAGCCAAAAGAGTCAGAATTTCTGTAAACAAAGAGAGAAATTAAAGGAGAAAGAAGGTGATTTTAAAGCCTTTTAAACTATCCCCTTTCAGTACCCAAAGAGGACTGAAAAGGGATTTTGAAAAAGGGCCTGGAGGGACAGGACACGGGGGAATGGCTTCCCACTGCCAGAGGGCAGGGTTAGATGGGATATGGGGAAGGAATTCTTGGTTGTGAGGGTGGTGAGGCCCTGGCACAGGTTGCCCAGAGAAGCTGTGGGTGCCCCTGGATCCCTGGAAGTGTCCAAGGCCAGGCTGGACAGGGCTTGGAGCAACCTGGGATGGGGAAAGGTGTCCCTGCCCATGGCAGGAGGTTAGAATAAGATGATCTTTAAGCTCCCTTCCATCACAAACAGTTCTGTGATTCTACTTAAATGCACCATGTTAAGAAAAGAACACACTTTGCTCAAAGGCCATTTCAAAAAAGGAAACCTTCCCACTGACTCCTGTGAGCTTGGATCAGATCTAGATGAAGCAAAAAACCCTGTAATGACAACGGAATGGAATATGAGGCAGGTGCAGGAGCTGGACTGCAGCACAAAGGTGACAAATTCATACAGAAAGCGGTACATTCCAGTGAGGAGAGTTTTAAGCTGATCGACTGGAAGAGTTTAGTCACGCTGAATCCAGGCTAAAAACCTTTTGTAGGCAGAAATACCTCAGCACTGCATTCTCTCAGCTGCGTGCATACCTCAGCTCATGAACCAGATGAGCTGTGATCCGTGCCCCCGAGGCACCCAAAGGATGACCGATAGCGATGGCACCTCCGTTGACGTTGGTCTTCTCAGGGTCAAGGCCCAAAACTTTTTCGACAGCCAGATACTGAGGTGCAAATGCCTCATTTACCTAAAGCACCATGAGAAACGATACAATTTTTACATGAGCTTTCAGCACACAAGATTGAAAGAGGTGAACTTCTCCACCGGGTCATTTTGAGAAAAATATTAAACATTGTTCATAAAAGCACACTTAAGTCAACTTACAAAATGTCAATCCGATCCAATTAAAATTAAAATACTAAGCAAGTATGACGTATACATTATAAAAAAGGTATATTCTGATGCAGTGTGCCCGGGAAGAGCCTGTTCCTCTCACAAGAAGAGGCCCTGTTCACAAATGGAGAAGTGTGACTAACTAAAAACATGAACAGTCCAGCCAGCAGAGTAACACGTCATGTCACATGAGGGTATTTTTATTCCATGGAATGCTATCACGCCATTTTCATTTTCCACATGCCTGAGATTTTTGTAATGGCTGTGCAACTGCACGGCAGAAATGAGATGGACAGAGGTCAGGCAGCTCCTGACATGTAGGAACACCTACATGGATGAGTGGAATGTTTCTGCTAAAAAGATCTGGGGGTAAAATCACTGTTCATGTAAAAACCTCTCACCTCTACCAAATCCATATCCTTCAGGGTCAATCCTGCTTTCTTCAAAACCTCAGTAATTGCAGGTACAGGGCCTGTTTGGAAATTATATGCAGTTAGTTAAATAAAAAAAAAATCAATAAATAAAGTGTTCTAACCATGTTATAAATAGGATAGCTTCATAAAGCCTCACCAGTTCCCTTCCACTGAGCCTCTGAACAGCCAATGAATTCTGGATGTGCTTTATTAGGTGGTAAGAGAACTGCTCAATCTCAAAACTACCAGTCACCTTCTCAACACACAACCAGGGAAAGTTAAGAGGGTCACTACTGCTGTGCTGCTGTGGTGGCAAACACACACAGAGCTTCCAAGTCCAGAAAAGGGACAGTCCCCATACAAACAGAACAACTTCACAATAGATGTGAGGCATTCTCCTTCCCAGTACTCTTGGATCAGTTTATTCTTTACTCACAACTTGCAGCCTCAAGGTAAACAAAAGAGAAGAACACCAGGCTGCTCCAGAGTTGCTGGTCATGGGTGTGGTTATGGGTATTGTTGTTTTGATGTTCTTAATAGATCAGAAAATCTTCTAGTAAAAACCCTAAAATTTAATTAGTTTATTCTGAACAATTAAATGCTCCCTCAGAGCCAGGTCTTGGCCAGCTGAAGACAGTAAGATTTTTCTTTTGAGACTTACAGAGTTTGTCAACAAAACTGTTCTCTGGAAGAAAGTTGACATCTACAAGCTATTATAATCCACTAAGGGAAATTATTCTCAAAGCACAGCTACCTAAGGAAAGACACACTCAAAGAGAATTTGAAAGGGTTAATTGGGTATGTGCTTGTGGGACAAAGATACCAAGATGTTATACGGTGGTTGATCATTATCCAAAAAAACCCCCAATTCTAAAACACTAACAACTCTAAATCTCTCACACAACTAAAAAAAGGGCATAGAAAAATCCGAGCTCAAAGAATAAAAAAATCACAAAAATAGGTAAATTACCAAAGACACAGAAAAATTAAAAGAAGAAAGGGCCCAGTTCAGAGCTCAGTGAAGTATCAGAGAGCCTCAGGAAGCTTAGTACTAGATTCTAAATGCATCTCATTAAGGAAGGGTTTTAGTATGCCCGTTATGCCTGAGAGTAACGGCAGGGTCTCGTGTGGACAATACAGAGACCACCAATGACAGCCAAGCAAACTTCCCTCTTCCCCTCCTCTTTTTTCAAATAATGAATTCTCTCACTAAACACTGTGGGGCAGGACTCCCTGTCACTATCAGTATGTGAAAGGGCAGTTGTGCAGACTGAGGTCCTGTTCTCAGATCTGTTGCTGTCATGTCCGTGAATCTCTTCTGGTCTCTTTGAGTTGCTGGGGATAAGCTGTGGTGTGAAGGAGTTGAGATACTGTTTCTCTCTATGATTTATGAAGTTTTTAAACAAGCTAAAAGGGTTGCCTGACCTAGGAAGAATGGGCTGGTTTAGGAAGCACAATGACAGCATGAAGCCTGGCGAAATAAACCCTCCCTCCACATTTGCTTTGAAGGTTGTGACAGTTAGATAGTCTGATCAGGGAAACAAACCTGACAATGCTTCATTTGCATTTCCACTGACACATGGAACCAGTCAACAATGGCTTCTCTGAACAGAAGGACAGAGAGGAGAAGCAACTCTGGGATACAATGCTGTCTACAAACTAAACAGAAGGGAAAAATCCTGGGGTGTCTGGATTGGATTTGAGGAATTGTTTGCATTACAAACTACTTGATGAGGAAACAAAATATGGGATAAAACAATCAAGAAAGTATTTTGTTTGCCAAATAATACCTGAACAGATGTGTATCCCGGAATCCAAACTTAGCTTGAGCCACTGAGTAACTGCTCAAAGGTGTGCACATAGCCAACACTTCCTCAGCAAGAGGTGAGAAAGACAACTCATAGTTATGCATTTTATAATGGGATTTTGAAGTTTACAGGAAACTAAATTTCAGGAGAAAAATGCTTTATAAAAGAGTGTTTGTCTTCTTGACTTACTAACAGAGAGAGTAAAAAGGGAAAGAAAAAAGGTGCTGGGGGAACTATAGCTTAGTGTTATCACCATAGGTCGGACAGTGCACATACCCTTCCAGCCAAAGTGAGGAGTAAATCTGTTCCTCTGCATGAGAGGGATGGACTGACACAGTGGAATGGACAGTAGGACACACAAACATCCTCAGAGCTACCAGACTGAGTACACTGCAGCCTCCCTTTCTTTCCTTTAAAATGCCCAGGAAAAGAATATTTTAATGCCACTTGATGCTAAAAAATAATGTGCTTTATTGCAACTTACCAATGCCCATGATGGAAGGGTCACAGCCAGATGAGTGATATGCTACCACTCTTGCCAGAGGAGTAAGACTGTGCTTTTTAAGTGCTGATTCACTGGCAAGGATGACTGCACCAGCTCCATCACACACCCCCTTGCAATAAGAGAGAAAAGCATTCTTAGTGAGAAAACACAAAGAAACAAAAAATCCCCACACTCTTTTAACTAAACTCTCAAAAAAGACTGGAGCCCAAAACACCATAATTAACATTTAACAGACAATTTTTATTCAAAACAACAAATGACAATCTGTCACTATTCTGAGGACTGGGAAAGGAAGTTAAATATAGATGTTTAATTAATTCCAATGTTTTAGCAAAGTAAATACACTTTTTACTCTAAAAGTCTCCTTTGCATTGGAAGCATGATTCTGCAGACTTGCAAGAACACAATTAATAATGGATAATGTATGTGCTATTAATTATAAAAGATACTTTACAGACACCCACACTTACTGTGGCTATGATGATCTATTTTAGGCAGGAATTCAGGCTATATGACCACAGTGGTCCTTCTGGCCCAAAGAACATTAATCAACTAATTAAAGATACTGACTGTAAGAGGAACAGTCCATAATGACATGCTGCTAAGCACTCAGTCTACTCTTGGTAAGAGCAAAATGTGGTTTGGATGGCAGAGGATATTAACTGTGGCACGAAGATGAGCAGCAGCAGTTTGCCCACTAATATAATGCCTGGTTTGTAAAGCAAATGTTCAGTAGGCATTGCCCCCAAAAGAAAGTAGGATGGCTAATTCTACACAGCCACTGCAGGTATCAACTGCACAATTCAAGCCTGATGAAAAGTGCCAATGCCTCACTAAAAGATCAGTGGCAACCCACAGAACCAAATTTTAGGACTTAGGAGCAGACTGAAGGATCCCCTGAGATCTTGGGGCTGGAAAAGACAACCAGGGGCATCGAGCTGCAGAATTAGAAGTCACTTTCATCAGGAGACACCACTGACAGCCAAAGGTGCCTCAGTGAGACATAAAAACAGTGGCGACAAATCTGGAGAACCACAGAGGAGACACTTTCACAACCCAGGGCTCTGACATACTCACTGAAGCATTCCCAGCCGTGACCGTTCCATCCTTTTTAAAGACACACGGGAGCTTTGCCAACTGTTCCATAGTGGTCTGGGGTTTGGGGTGCTCGTCCTTTTGCATGCTTTCCTTCCCCTTTTTGGTTTTCACTTCAATTGGTGCCATCTCAGCATTAAAGTAGCCAGCATCATTAGCTGCAACCACAAAAGGGAAAATAAAAGGACTCTGATAAAAACATCAAGATGATTGCGCAGCATGAACAATAATCATATTTTCATGTGCACACAACTTTTGCTCTATTTTAACCAAAAGTTCAAGGGCAGCAATGTTTATGCTTCATTTTGCTTAAATAAGCTGGTTGGTGTTTTATTGTGTTTTGTTTTGGGTTTTTTTTTTAAGAATTTGGGCAAAAACTGTACAAGTAAACTCTCAAACTTCTCCAAAAAAAGTCTCTTCTAAAATATTAAAATTTTATTTCAGTTTTAAATAACTGAACTCCCTTTTGTTCTGTTTTATTTTTGCTTTAAAACATTGGATTTATTTCTGGTACGAAAATAAATGTACTGCTGCTTTATTCTACAGCTCTGTTGTTTATCAGATAGCCAAGAAGAAGTAAATCTCAGAGAGAAATGTGGAAAAAACTCCTAAGACACATTTTCTCTGCTGATAAGGTATTATATATCAATTAAAATTCTGTCCAAGGTACTCCTCTACAGGTATCACACTCAAGGGAGGATCTCAGAACGGGATTCAGCTGCCTAAACCATCTGAGTCAATTCAAGACATTGCAGGTATCAAAGATGCCCATAAAAGCATCTGGCCACAATAACTAATATAGTATTAGACAGGGATTTAAAACTAAGACACAGAAACTGTCATATCTGATGTTGTTTAGCTACCTCTGGACTTCTCAATAAATTCCTCAAAACCTTTTACTTTCCTGATTAGACACAGGACTCTCTCTTTACTGTGGAATAAGACGAACTGGTCCTACACGCAGAAATAAAAACAGCAAGCCAAAATCCTAGAAAACAAGAAAGAAGCACAGTTTCTAGCAAAGAGTCCAGGGATAGCAGGAGTTAGCTAACAAGATCAGCAGGAAAGGTAATAAACGATGGAGAAAAATTATAAAAAGCACTGCTACACCAACTGCAAAAAACACAGACTCTTCTTCCAACAGTGCAGCTGTTAAAATGCACCATCATTAGAATCTAAAGGAATGCCTGGATCTTTGCTTCCTACCCTTTGCCTTTGGATTGCAATGTATGTAAAGCCCCAGGACAACCCCTACAACTGGCTTTTGGTCTAAACTTCACAGTAATCCAATCATAGAATCTGAGTGGTTTTGGTTGGAATGGACCTTAAAGCTCATCTCATTCCAACCCCCTGCCATGGGCAGGGACACCTTCCACTAGCCCAGATTGCTCCAAGCCACATCCAACCAGGCCTTGGATACTCCCAGGGACCCAGGAGCAGCCACAGCTGCTCTGGGCAACCTGTGCCAGGGCCTCACCACCCTCACAGACAGCAATTCCTTTCCCATATCCCATCTAACCCTGCCCTCTGGCAGTGGGAAGTCATTCCCCCTTGTCCTGTCCCTCCATCCATTGTCCCCAGTCCCTCTCCAGCTCTCCTGGAGCCCCTTTAGGCACTGGAAGGGGCTCTCAGGTCTCCCTGGAGCCTTCTCTTCTCCAGGTGAACCCCCCCAGCTCTCCCAGCCTGGCTTCCAGAGCAGAGGGGCTCCAGCCCTTGGAGCATCTCCATGGCCTCCTCTGGAATCTCTCCAGCAGCTCCACATCCTTCTTATATTGAGGGCCCCAGAGCTGAATGCCTCTGATATGGCTTTGGCCATGTAAACCACCCAGAGAACATTTTAAACACAATTCCTGAAAAAATATCCTCTCTTCAGATTCCATCTGCTCTAACTGCTCAAGGGTTTTAGAACAGCATTGGATTTGCAAAAGAAAGAAAAAGGATTCAGATCAATGACAGCACACACTGACACATGAGGATGATGTGGGTCACTGTGGATGTTCTGCAGTGCAGAAGAAAGAAAGGAGGGCAGTCAGGCATGCCTGGGACAATGCTGCATCCCACCAAAGGGTCACCAACAAGCCACATTTATGAACACAAATCCAGTTCAGTTAGGTGACACGTGACAGGGTGTTAAAAAGCATTTGCTGCCTGAACAGCTACAGAATGTCCACAAGGAAGGCACAGGAAGGTAGGTGGAAAGGGGGCTCCCTACTTAACCTGCTGGTGGGCACAACACCTGACTCAGCAGGCTCAAAGTCAAACCCTTTGGGAGTGGGCTACTTCTACCACAGGGCCAACAAAATCATGAACTACAGTATGCAAATCAAAGGACAAATTACACCACAAGCTACACAGAGCTTGAAGATGCTTTGAATCAATGCTAAAAACCGAACAGATTTGAGGTTAGTGCCATATAAACCCTTCCATTCCTGCATGTACTAACCAGCTTTGCACCTCTGTTGCGTTTTCAGTGCGTATCCATCACAGGCCTCCCGTGAGATGTTGTATTTTGCTGCCAGGTTTTCAGCTGTCACTGCCATAGGTATTTTAACATGTGTATCTGTTAGAGCTTCCCACAACGTGTCTTCCAACTGCACGGCACATTATGAGAAGAAAATCAGAAAACACAGCAACACTGACATTTATTATTGACAGTTCCTAACTGTTCAGCAGCCTCTTGGAACCTAATGGTTCTTTGCAAAATTAATTCAGGTTTCCCACAGGTAATTTATTTATCAGAATGAACACACTGCAAAGCAGCGTGCAACTTCCTGTGTGCTATTTTAGCTAATCTATGCTGTGCTCTTGTATGGTTTTTTCCACTCCCACATGGCCCCAGGAAGCTTGGGAAAAGCCTATGATTTTTGGTATTTCAGCACATTTTACTTGTGTATGAATTATTTATTGGAGACCTATGAGAAAATACACCTGTCTGGTTGCCAAGAATGAAAGGTGAGGAACTGTGAAAAGGCACAGCAGCCCACTGATTCTTTAGCTCTTTCTCTACTGCCAGGTAAAATGACTTTACAAGAGTAAAAGGTTTATGCAGGCGTAACATCTCTGGTGAGAAAATACCCAAGCCTAACTTCACTTAACCTGATAAAGGCAAGCCCAGTCTGTTCAGATGGGTTTTGTTATCTCTGTCACCAGTAAAGTTCTGCAAGATAAATCACCCATTCACCTGATAATTCAATTATCATCATGATAAGAGCCCAGCAGAACCTACTCAGTGTATCAGCAGCTTTGTGGAGGTGTTCTCTATAGGAACCGAGGCTTAGACACAGTGCCACACAAGAACAGAGCCAAGCCTAATTTGTATGCACCATCTTCACAATGGAACCATAGCACAGGAAAAAACCCAAAAGAGCTGAAACACTGAAATATCCAAATTTTTGCATTCTGCTATCAGTTATGACCCACTGAGTAAGTGGTAATTATCAGAGCACATTATCAATTGATCCTGCTGCACATTTCTCACAGTATTTGCTTGGGATTTATCTTCAGAAGAAAATGTAAAAATAACTTACCTACCAATGGATTTAATTTTTTTAAGTTTCCACTTCTGGAATGGAGAGATGCTTACAGCTTGGAGGTATACATGTTCTTCACCAGTCTGCCCATCTACTGCCAGCATTAGTAGCCTTGCCTAAATTGTATATGCCTCTATTTCACAGCCTCTGACAAGTTTTTAACACATAGTACTTGCATGGGATGTACCAAGTGAACTAAATTTTGTGTCTAAGAATTTATTGATATGTTTATCATGGAACAGGAATTCAAACATGGTTTTGGAAAAGCTAGAAAAATTGGCATGCTTAACAGAATTGCCTGAACCTACTGTTTTGATAATGTATGAATACCGGCTAAATGCTTTGAACAACTACATCTGGATCTAATCTCCAATATTTCCATTCCCAAGAATTTAGTGCCTACAGGCCTGATACTTACATTGCTCTGTGAACATTACTTAGTTCAGAGAATTAAAAAAGAGCCCAAAAAAAAAGTACCAGACCTTGAGTTCTGCTCCTAATCTGGTTCCAAATCGAATCTTTCGAACTGCATAAGGAGCCTGGCTCATACTTTCAGCTCCACCACACAGAACAACTTCTGATTCATTAAGGCAAATTTCCTGTTAACAGAAAAACAAAACAGATCCAGGATTTAGTGTTTGAGTAAGAAAAATTAAGTGTTTGGTGTTTGAGTAAGAAAAATAACAACGGTTTTAAAAAAAGAGCTTGTCACCTACGAAGCCACAAAATGAGAATGAATTCAAACTTAATCATGTGTGTATTTATGAAAGGTTTATTAAGGTTGGGGTCTGTCTCCTTCATGGCACTTTCCTTCTTTCTCCTTTCAGCAAGGAACGATTATATCCATGAGGGAAGAGACTATGGGTGTGTACACATGAGAGGACAGAGGAACAAAGACATTAAGCCTCTGCATGCTTGTGTGGTTAGGTTCACAGATGGTTGAGCTGGGTGTTTTTAAACTCCCAATCTTCTCAAAAGAAATACAAATTAAATCTCAAAGCCTGAATGATTGGAAAAAATGGGACATAATTTTAGAAGACATTAGCTAGGTAAGCTGCCAAAAGTACCCAAAACATACTAATTCATCACTGGCAAAGCACACAGAACCTAGAATCCTAATTCTTAAACACACCATCAAACCACTGAAAAATTGTGCTTCCCTAAAACAATTCACTGAGTTGGACCATTAAGGTTATTTCTGTACTGGAATGGAAGCAGATGAAATTATCCCAAAGAAGTTGCCCCATCCCTGAAAGCCACTGATTTTACTAATATGTGCTGAGATGTTTTCTATAGTGACTAAAAAAATTGTGAACGTTTACTAGCAGCTCAGCACAGAAGCTGCAGCTTTGTTGTGTGCCAGGGAAATACGGAGCCAGTGGCTGCATTGATCGAATGCCATCTTCAGAAAGGACCTCACAACCTTTACTTTCAATAAAAGGGGTCAAATTCTCCAGCACTTTTATTCAGTGTGGACAAGGGTGTGTATGGCCTTCGCAGAAAGCACCAGAAAAAGCGGTCAGATGGATATTACTGTAAACATGTAACCTTAACTCTACATCGTCTTTCACATTTTTTTCCTCTAGAGGATCAGACCTAAAATAATCCTCTGGCCAAGAAAAACAAAAAAAAAAAACCCACAAAACCAACTATCCCGTTGCTCAAGTATTTGTAAAATAAATGTAGGAATGAAAGAAATAAAACCCCCTGTACCACTGTACCATCTTACTCAGTGGTTTTGGGCACCCGCTCAAAGAGAAGTTGATTCTTTTCTATTTTAAAAGAAGTGACACTATAAATTACCTAACCCACGAGAGGTTTGGATCTTTGAACAAAAGCACTTAAAAAGCCCAAGCTGCTGCTTACACAGCTAACCAGGTGAGAATATAAACAATGATCAAGAGATGAAAGCCTCCTGTTGTGGTCCTGAAGCCCAGTAATTCCAATCCAGACAAACAGGATCACGGGATCCAACTACTGCACAGCTGAGATCCATTTCACCAGCTAACACTTGCTGCATTCCTTATACTAAACTAAAAATAGCTACAGTGCTGATTTTAAAAACCAACCACAAAATGTGGCACTGTGGAGGCTGAACTCCTGCAAAAAAACAAAAGCATGCAGGACAACAGAAGTCTCTACCAGTGGTAGCTAAAAATCCACGTTAAGACTCATCCCAAACACAAAGGACATGTTTCTACACGCGCCTCTTCTCTCGCATTAACAGCCTGATAAAGATTACAACCAACACAGAAGTACAGAGCTTTGTACCTGGCATCCATTGGCAATGGACTGGAAACCAGAGCCACAGAGCCTGTTGACAGTGAGTGCTGGCACGGAGATGGGAACCCCCACACGTAAACCAACGTGTCTCGCGATGTAGATCGCATCTGGAGAGCTCTGCAGACAGAACAAACAGCGGGTTTTGCCACTGGAAAGCAAAAGTCTTGATGAAAGGTCAGGATGGTGTAACTGCATCTGGTAGAAGACAGTGTATGTTCAGCAGAAATACAACCTAAGAAGCACCCTGATTCACTTCAAAGAAGATACTATTCAACATTATCTGAAAGTGTCAGCGTCTTAATGTGCATTTTAAATGAAGTGTGTGTTGTAAAAGGCAGACATCAGGCCAAAATGGGACTACAGATGCTAAGATTTAAGTCAACAACTTAGTAAGTCTTAATGTTTTTCTTTATCCTTTATTTTTAAAACAGTATTCACACAGCAGACTGATATAAGGACAGATCCTGACTGGTGAGCAGCAATTACTTTAAGGTAAATTAATATTGCTCAGACTAACAGAGGAAGGCCCCCCAAAACCACAGAGAACACTTATGCTCTTGGGTATCATGCCCTAAGCTACTGTGTATTATAAAGACAAAGTTCTGTGCACAGTGCTGCATGCCAGTGCAAGTTCAGACAAAAAAACTGAATTAATGAAGCCACTTCTGCTGCAGAAGGGGAGTTTAAAATGGTCATACACTCATAGTAATTTAAACTTAATCAAATAATACCTAAAAGGAATCCAGGGCTAAAAAAAAAAGAAAATCTATTGGGATGGGGAAGTATGATGCAAAGGAAATGTACTTTAAACATGAAAAGTAACTTTATTACCAGAATGCTATTTCTTATGTAAAAGCATTACAGCAATTATTTTCTAGGTCAGAGGCAGTTCTTACAAAATTAAAAAGCTGAATAAAAGAAGCGGAGGTGGTATCTGTAGGAGACAGAATAATCTAAGGCTACTCTTGGCTGAAAATTCTTAACAAGGAATACTGCATGTTTCTTCACATATAGTGAAAGTTTTGTTACTTGCTTCTTCTGCATCCTTGAAATAGTGCAAAAGAAAAGTCCCTACACTTCATAATGGTGAAGTCAGAATACAAAAAATAAATTAAAAAAAAAAAGAAAGCCAGAAATGTTCTTTGCTGTCTTGCCTAAAACAAAGACACTCATCTAGATAAGTGGATAACTGCTGTTTTGCAAAGTGGTGCCCTGCATACAACACCATCCTCTTCACAAACTCTTTGGAAAAGAAATGGTTGTCCAAATGCCTCTTTCAATCAAGGCATGAATCCTTCCAGCTCAAAGGAAACTCATATTTCCTCCAAAAAAAAATCCTACAGAAAACTCAAGGGAAATAGATTCAAATCAATCAAAGATAAAAATGGATTTATATAATTCAGTGGAAACCTGATCACTGAGTTACACAGCTCAAGCCTTCAAAACAGGGAAAATGTACCAGGGATTAGCAACTGACCAGTTAATGAATATATATTTTTAGGAGATTAGCTTGTCCTGGTTTACACTACCTCTGGTACCATAAAAAGAAAGCTAAGCCTTGCTCCCAACAGCACCACAAATCAGGAGGGTATGTCCCTCAGACGCGAACAGGAAACACCACACCACAAACGCTGCTCACGCACTTCACTCCCACGTCGTCACTTCATTCTTGGCCGCGAAGCTGCCCACAGGACCACACCGGGGGAGACGACGCTGAAGAACCCCCGACCAGCAGATTTTCCAGGGTACCAACCTGCATGACATTGCCCACGACGACGCTGTCGATGATCTCGGGGGAGACCTTGCCCGCGGCCAGCGCGGCGCGGGCGGCGTGTTCCGTCAGGTCGGTGGCCGAGAAGTCCTTCAGCAAACCCCCGTAGGTCCCGAAGGGAGTGCGCTTTGCTGCCACGATGAATACACCTGAAACGCAGGCAGGAATCACCCACACGTACAGGGGGCCGACAAACAACACCGCCAAGTCAGCCTCAGGCGGATAACACCCTAAATTCACGTGAATATTTGTAGATACAGGCAGCACCAACCCCCCGCGGTGCGGGATAAATGATATAATGGTGGTTTAGACAGGGAAGGCAGGAAGAACTTCCTCGTGAGGGGAAGAGGAGGGGCAGGCACTGAGCTCTTCCCTGTGGTGACCAGTGACAGGACCCCAAGGAATGGCCTGAAGTTGTGTCAGGGCAGGGTTAGGTTGGATTTCAGGAGAAGGTTCTTCCCCCAGAGGGTGGCTGGGCACTGAACAGGCTCCCCAGGGCAGTGGGCACAGCACCAAGGCTGACAGAGCTCAAGGAGGGTTGGATGATCCTCTGGGGCACAGGGTGTGACTCTTGGGGATGATCCTGCACAGGGCTGAGGGTTGGACTCGATGGTCCTTGTGGGTCCCTTCCAGCTCAGCACATTCCGTGGTTCTGTGAATTAATGGTCAGAAAGAAAAGCAGGGAAGATTCCAGAAATACTCCCTTTCCACAAAGAGGTTTGACAAAAAGAGGGAAGTTTGCATTTGGATACCAGGCAGGCGAAGGAGGCTGCCACACACATCAGATATTAGTGGCATTAGTGTACCGAAACCATGATAGTAACATCCAAGAAATTCCATAGTGGACACCTGTGAAACAATCAGATGATGAACGGTGCTTTTAACAAACAAAGAGGTCATTCCGTCATCCTAGAAAAAACAGCAGATTTTTGGCTTATATTCTGAAAGAGTTTCCACAAAGGAAAATAAAACCCAGACAAAAAAGCAAAATAAAAATTTAACTTTGATTCCTTCAGCTGAAGAGGAAAAACGCTCCCTAATCAGAAATTTTACACTTCTGCCAGAATTATTTAAGTCATCTAAACTGCTTTAGCATCAATCTTCCAGGTTCTGAGAAGAAAAGCCAGTTTTCAATAGGCAGGAGAGTGTGTGCCAGCACAAGTGTACAAAGGCACTGGGACGTGGAGTAGCTCACATGAATTCCAGCCAGGGAGAAGCCACCTCTGAACCAAAGCAAACATCTACTGGCTGCCTGTCACAGTCCTTTTCTGCTTCCACGTGCAGAAAAACAAGTGGGAGGCAGGTTGTGAACTTTTCCCCAGTTGAACAACAGCACTCACATACTCTGTTTCTACAGCCGTCATGGAAAACCCAGCTATTTTAAGTAACACTGCAAGGACATATATATATGTAAGAATGAAATTTCCTGTTCATTAAGCTGCTCATGAACACTGATTTCAGGCTGTCAGATCCATATTACTTAGCTGTTTTGTTAGAGAGGGTGTTCCTCCAACTCTCATGTATCTGGATCCCAGGCTGAACGATTGCTAGAAAAGGACTTTCCAAACTGGTGAATATCAAGGCTGCCCCACTGACAAGGACTTGAACACAACACTGGGATCTGAAATATGCAGGGAGCATGCTTAGAATCACAGAATCATATCACAGAATGGTCTGGTTTGGAAGGGATCTCAAAGCTCATCTTGTTCCAACCCCTTGCCATGAGCAGGGACACCTTCCACTAGACCAGGTTGCTTCAAGACCCATGAATCTGACCTTCAACACTTCCAAGGATAGGGTAGACACAGCTTTTCTGGGCAACCTGTGTCAGGGCCTCACCACCCTCACAGAGAATTTCTTCCCAATATCCAACCTAACCCTGCTCTCCTAAGCTTGTCTTCCCTGCAGCAAAACAGGCCTTGACATTCATCCTTCACCGCTCCTCCTGTCCACTGATTCCCATCCCTCTGCCTCCTCCAAGTTGTGCCAACAATAACTGATTACAAAGCTTTGCTGCAGACCAGCTCAGGGACATGACCAAGCTAAAAGAACTCGTCCTCCTCCCTTTTGTTCAGGTTGTCTGTTATCCACATTATTTGCTCAATTGCACACACTGTGGCATTGCCTCGCAAAAAGTCCAGGGGCAAGGATGGAACTTTGCCCTTCAACATTCCTTTCACAATAACAACACCTCTCTCTCTTTCATGGAGGCTGCTCACTGCTGCCCACTTCCCAACAGCACTGTGGGGCCAATAAACCAGGGCAGGTCACACAACCGAGGCAGCTGAAGAGTAACCCAGAGTCAGCAGAAAACGAGGGGCTAATTTTCATTTGGATCAGCTCCGTGCCGAGTTCACCTTCTGGTTGCTCAATAAAACAGTAATTCGAGACTAAGAGAGAAGGCTGGACTGAACCAGCAAGAGAAGATGATGAAGCAGCAGCAGCACAAGCTGTCATGCTGAATTAAACTGGACACAGAGCCATGCCCCAAGGGAATGTACTCCAGAGCCTGCCGAATTTTGCTTGATTGGAGAGACATCAACAAATGCTACTCCCTCCACAGAATTTCAGGAGGGGTAACAAGGGGTGGCTGAAGTTCTGAGTAAGAATGGACTCTGTGTCTTTTGACAGCTCTCTCTAAGTCTCCATTAATTAGCACTGTCCTACATTATCATGGCAAGACTTCCAGAGTGTCTCCCATTTTCCAAGGTGATAAACACTGGACAAGAGCAGAATAGTATCAGATGCATAGAGACCTGTAAACTTTTTGGGCTAGAAAGCAGAGGTCACTTGGAATCCTTACCAAACACTATATTCAAGATATCTTTTAACCTGGTTTTGTTAACCACTTGCTGCCAAATGCGGATCTGAAACATTCCCTAACCCTCCAACACTTCTCAAACATGCTTGGTACAAAAATAATTGTTCATCAGACCCTATTCTGAAAGACTAAAAAACAATCAATAACATAAAAAAATTAAGAAGCAAAAACAGTGTACGAAAATATTGTGGTTAAAGATGAGAGAAGATCCTGCAACAGGCACAGAAAACTAACATCAAACAAGTATAGGCAAGGTGCTCTCTGTATTATCCAGCTCAGCAGAGCCATCAAAATTACTGCAAGAATTACCAGACAGGCTTTACCACTGAAACCTCACACCATGACTGACACACATGTTATTATTTAGGTATGGTCTGTCAAGTAGCAAAATGCTGTCGAATAGATAAAAAGCCCTATTGCAATAAATTTCAATTTTGTTTTCAAACCAGAGCAGATGAGAAAGGGCGTATTTGCCTCATTTTTAAGAGATGCAAAAGTGAAACCATGCAGAGCATAAATTAGTACTTTACACTAAACACTTTCAAGAGCTGTTGGGACTTGAAGAGTCTATTCTGCAATGCCAGTGTTAACACAGGCAGGGGCTGGATGTGACAACAGAAACCTTCAGTCATGGACATTTCAAGTGTCACTTCCAGTGACTTCTAGTCACTACATGTAAACAAAGAATGACAGAATTATGGAATCATTTAGGTTGGAAAAGTCCTCTATGACCATCAGGTCCAACTGTTCCCCAGCACTGCCAAAGCCACCACTAACCCATGTTCCCAGGTGCCACATCCACATGGCTTTTAAATCCCTGCAGGACGGGGACTCCACCACTGCCCTGGGCAGCTGTGCCAGGGCTGGACAACCCTTTCCATGAAGCCATTTTCCCTAATATCCAACCCAAATGGCCAGTTACTGGACAGTCAAATGCACCCTTTGCTATAGGTTTGTAGCACGAGTGGCTTGAGCACTGCAGAAAGTCAAACCCTATATTCTAAGCAGTGCTAAAAACAGAGGCTGTGACTGACACCACGTATCCCTTCCCCACCCTCTGACCCCCATTCCCAGACTTTGATCCCCCCGTTCCCACCCTCTGCACCCCCTTTCCACCCTTTGAATCCCCTTCCCACCCTTTGCACCCCCTCCTCACCTTCTGACCACCTTCCCACCGACTGAACCCCCCCCTGCACCCTCTTCCCAGTCTCTGATCCTGATTCCCACCCTCTGACCCCCTTCCCAATCTCTG